GGGGGGGGGGGGGGGGGCACTGAGTCCCAGACGGTGAGAGCAGGTCTGGATGCAAACGTTACACAACCATTTTACCACCGTAACCATCACCACCACCAGAAATTGCTATACATGTCATTCCAATGTGCCTACCCTAGCGATCCACTTCTGGTTCATCGGGCTGCAGTTAGTCCGAATCCTGGTGAGCACTTGCTTGCGTCGCTGGTCGTTCGGCGCGTTCGCCAGGTCGCTTAGCGCGTCGTTCACCTGCAGGACGGACACGAGACAGGCCACGCACGCAAAGTCTCTGGACTTATTCGAGCTATACCAGGTTCGTTTCCGTTCAGGAGGAGAGAGATGAGAATCTATCTGATGGCACTACTTCTTTGGAGAAACGACATGAATGAAACGAAAACAACGTCAAGAGGAAGCCTGGACATACTGTGGAAATTCGCCATTGAAACCCGGTCACTAACCAACGAAAAGTCATGTGCACACAAGAGACATCACAAACGACGAGCAGCAAGCCATCGCTTCGGGGGGGGGGGGATTTCCTCAGTTTCCCGACCCTCACGTCTCTGACCGTCCACGTCGTCGCATCCACGGCTTTGATGCCAAATCTTCTCTCAGTGAGCACGTACTCCAGCGTCAGGGCAAGGTCTCCCGTGACCTGCCATCTCTTGTCCCCCTACCAAAGGTTTTTCCAATTATCAACAGTCGTTTTCGTTTCATCACGGTCGATCGAGAGAGAGAGAGAAAGGGGCGGGGTTGCGCGCGTGGCGAAAGACGACAGACGAAATCGGATTGAGCGTTTGGCCTTAGGTGTGACACATCGAAGGCGAGGATTTGAGAAATCTTCGCTCCACCATGCCATGCGACACAACCAGTGCTACTGCGCAACCACTCCATGTCAAAACCGTTGCGGGGCTTGACCCAACATTCCCCTGCGGATGGTGCTGTTGTACAGTGGCAGACAGGGCTACGGATTAAACCTTGACCACAAGAACCTTTGCGAGCGCCGTCGCAAACAAGGAACTACAGGTCGTTTCGTGCTGCTTCCCACATGGTCTCTTTCAACCGCTCTCGGACCCGAATCCCGAAGGACACTACAAAACAAAACCGTTTCGCTTGCTAGAGTCGGTAAAGAAGTCGATACTTCGGCGTTTGCACCTTTTTCTCTATGCTACACGACATAAGCACCGACTCCACACCGCTACTGCAGCGTTGTCGTCGCTCAAGCCGTTACAAGAGAGGTGCATAAACGCCTCACCGGGGAAGGGTTTCTGTCGGGATCGGTGTACGACTGCAGTCGCAAGTACCCCTCTCCCTTCTTGTTGTTGGGGAAGTAAAGGTCTGCAAAGAGCGAGGCCATCTTGGCCGTTCTCATGCCGTACTTGTCACGCAGGTTGTCCAGCTGACAACACGTTTTTTCAGGGGGTGGGGGGGGGGGGGGGGGG